TGTGTTTATCCACTTAGGTAGCAAATTATCTGAATGGCAGTAGATTGGGAGAGGGGCAGGTACGACAAGATCTGGGTATCATTGTACACCAATCACAGAAAGTAAGCATGCAGATCTGGCAAGCAGTGAAGAAGGCAAATAATATGTTGTCCTTCATAGTAAGAGGATTCGAGTTCAAGGGCAGGGATGTCTTGCTGCAATTGTACAGAGTCCTGGTGAGACCATACCCGGAGTATTGTGAGCCATTTTGGCCTCTTTATCTGAGGAAGGATGTTCTGGCTGTGGAGGGTGTGCAACAAAAAGGTTTACCAGACCGTTTCCTGGAATGGCAGGACTGACGTATTAAGAGAGACTGGATTGCTTAGGATGGAATCCACTGGAATTTAGAAGAATAATAGGAAGTCTCATACAAACTGTCTACAATTCTAACAGGACTAGACAAGGGAAATGCAAGAATGATGTTCCCGAGTTCAGGGAGTTCAGAACTAGGGGCCACACTCTTCAGGATATGGGATAGACCATTTGGGATTGAGACAAGGAGAAATTTCTTTCCCCAGAGAGCGGTGAACCTGTGGATTACTTTGCCACAGAAAGCAGTTGAGGCTAAAACATTCAAGTTTTCAAGAAGGAGTTAGATTTAGTTCTTGGGGCTAAAGGAATCAAAGGGCTTTGGGAGAAACCGGAGACAGGATATTGAGTTAGATGATCAGCCATGATCATATTGAATGGTAAGCAGGCTCAAAGAGCCAAATGGCCTACTCCTCCTACTTTTAAGTTTATGTGTTTGTACCAAGGCTGTAAAGAGGTAAAGAGCTGAATAGCTCTGATGGAACCAGAATTGAACATTATTGCTGAGCATGTGCTGCTTGATAACACAGTTGATGGCACCTGCCATCACTTTAATGATAGACAGCAGACTGATGGAGTGGTAATTGGCTAGGTTGTATTTGTCCTTTTTTTGTGTAGACGACATACCTGGATAATTTCCCACGTGGTTGAGTTGATGACAGTGTTGTAACTGTTCTGGAACAGCCTTGCTGATTTGGGAGTTGCAGGTTCTGGAGCACAGGTACAAATGCCAGAATGTTATCAGAGCCCCATAGCTTTTGCAGTATCTCGTACCTCCAAAATTTTATTGGCATAACATACAGTGAATGAGTTGGCTGAAGGTTGATATTTGTGAAGCTGGGATCTCTGGAAGAGGCTGAGATGGATCATCCACTTGGCACTTCTGGCTGAAGATTGTTGTGAATGCCACTGCCTTAAGTTTTGCACTGATGTGGTGGGCTTCCCTAATATTGAGGATGGGGATGTTTGTGAAGCCTGATTTCCCCTGTGATTTGTTTAATTATCCTCCACTATTTGTGACTGGATGTGGCAGGCTTGCAGAGCTTAGATCTGATCCGTTTCTTGTGGAGTTGTACAACAATTGTTGCCGTTCATGTGGCTGGCATGAAACTAATCCTGTTTTTCAATTCCCCCAGGTCAAGACTATATTTTTAGGTATGTCTGCTGCTGTGCTGTTTCTGGTACGCCCTCCTGCACTCTTCATTGAACAAGGTTGTTCCCTGGCTTTGATAGCAACGGTTGAGTTGGGCATCTGCAGATTGTGCTGGAGTAGAATTCAGCTGCTGTTGATGGCCTAGTCTTGAATTGCATAATCTATGCAAAGTTGGTCCCATTTAGCATGGTGATAGTGCCGCACAGCATGACAGAGGGTATTATCAATGTGAAAACGTAACTTCATCTCCACAGGGATTGAAAATGGCATGAATTGCTGCATTTGCAGTAGGCAGATTGGTGAGGATGAGGTGAAGGATGTTTTTCTGTTGTGTTGCTTCCGCCACCTCCTGCCACAGATCCTGTCTAACAACTGTGCCCTTTAGGACTTGCCCATTTTGGTCAGTAGTTATACTGCCAAGCGCTTTTGGTGTTGGACATTGAAATCCCCTACTGAGAGTACATCTTGTGCCCCTGACACCCTCAGTACTTCTTCTCATTACAGTTCAACATGGAGGAATGTTGATTTAATCAGCTGAGGGGGAACCATTACTTAGGGTAATCAGCAGGAGGTTTCCTTGCCCATGTTTGACTTGCTGCCATGAGACTTGATTGGATCCAGAGTCAATGTTGTGGACTCCTGGGGCAGCTCCTTTTTGACTCTTTGCTGCCAGCTCTGCTGGGTCTGTTCTGCCAGTGGGACGGGACATACCCAGGGATGGCGATAGTGTTGTTTAGGACATTGTGTAATGTATGCAAGAAACTTGGTCTGTCCTTGAATGTTGCCAAATAAAAACTTTTATTGATCCAGACCTGGTCAGTCAAATATTTCAACTCCCATATATGTTACAGTTGAGACTCTGAAATATGTTGAGCACTCCCTATACCTTGGCAATCACCTCTCTCAAATGTCCTAGGGCTGGGTTAATTGCCTACAACTATCACAACTATCTTTCTTTGCGCTAAGTATCACACCAGCCAGGCAGCTTCCAATCCTCCAGATTCCATATATTTCAGCTCGTTCAAAAGTCTGTTGCCCATGTTCTAAGTCATTTCAAGACTTGTCAACCTGTTACCCTTGTGCTCACTGACCTTCATTGCCAGACTCGGCTTTAACATTCCATACTTAGGGGAGGCGATGGCCTAGTGGTCTTATCGCTGGACAGTTAATTCAGAGACCCAGGTAACTCTGGGGACCCGGGTTCGAATCTGGGTGGAAGGTGAAATCCGGGCAGATTGTGAAATTTGAAATTTGAAGTCAATAAAAAAAATCTAATGATGACCATGAATCCATTGTTGGTTGTCAGGAAAAACCCATCTGGTTCACTTCCTTTAGGAAAGGAAACTGCCATCCATACCTGGTCTGGCCTACATGTGACTGCAGACCCACAGCAATGTGGTTGACTCTTAACTGCCCTCTGGGCAATTAGGGATGCACAATAAATGCTGCCTAGCCAGCGATGCCCTCATCCCGTTAATGACTGAAAAAAATTTGTTTCCAACATTTTCATAGCCTTATCCTCTCTTTCTGCGAACTCTTCCAATTCTAGAACTTCTTAAAGATAACTGCACGTTCCTATTTCAATTGCACATATCCAATTGTAATTGCTTCAGTTGTGACTCTGTCTTTAGTGGCCAACACCCTGTGTTCTGGAATTCCTTTCCCTAACCTCTCTGCCTCCCCTTTGTCTTATTAGAAACACCTTTAACCCTACCTACGTTTCCTATATTACAACTCTGCCTGTAGTTTTGAAAAGCATGTAACTGATTATTAAGTGCTTTGACACATTTTGAAGACCTCCTAAAGATTGTTTGTTTTTTTTTGTTTTGTTTCTCACCCTGAATCAGATGGAATGGAGGCAGGACAGGAAAGTAACTGGTGTTGGTGGGCTATATGCCAAATTGCTGCCTCTGCTGGTAACTCTGATGAGCTAGGGGTGAACGGGAAAGTAAAGTCTCCCACTTAATTAATAAGACTTTATTAAGAGCACTGGGCCAGTTGACTGCGAACTGTGAATTAATATAGCTCAGTTATCCCCTTTTTAGTTTTTCCCGTTTCTTGTTTGCCTGAGAAATTTTTGAATTCTCACCGGTTTAATGATATTTTGAGGTTTTCAAGAGGTAATTGAATTCTAAATAGCTTCCTTTGTGGAAGTAGTCGAGATAACACCTCAATCTGCCTGTATTTCCTGACTGAATTGAATCAACAAGAATCAGTCTTCTGACTTCTGGTAGCCATTTTTAAACATCGTATGTCTTCAAAATGTCAAATTAGCTTTCTTTATAATTTATTTAGAATGTAGCCCACCTCCACTACTGCACGTTGAAGCCACTAATTGGACAGTAGACCTGTCACTGGGATCATTAAGTCCCAACCCCGTGAAAATCATACTTCATATTACACTGATAACAGTAGCAGTTTATGATCCTGAATGTAACATACTTGGTATTCTCGCCTCTTCAGGAAAAATCCAATCCCAAGTTTGACATTTTCCTTCTTTCTGCCTGTTTTATCAAGCTCATGGTCATCTTTCCAAACATCCTAATCTTGTATAAGATGTATACATAATATCCCTATGTTGTTTGGTATCATATTTTGTTCAGTGACACTTCTTCTGTAATACCTTTGAACACATTACTACATCAAAAACCTTTTTATTGGTGCTGTTTTAGGATTGTTCCAGCCAACCTTGAACAAGTCAAAATACTGGGATCTAACCTACAATAGCCAGTTGCTTTGCTCTTAAATGATTATGTTTGAAATCCAAAAGGACATATGTTAAATTTAAATGTGCCTAATAAAAATACTCTTCACAAAGAGCAGTGTTTGTTGCTAATAATATATGCATTTTGATTTGGACCATAAGACCTTGGAACTAGAAGCAGGAATAGGCCTTTTGGCCCCCTTGCATTTAACATCCCTCATGTCCATTTTCCTGCCTTTTTCCTACAATCTTTGATTCCCCTACTGATCATGAATCTGTATATATTAGTTTTAAATATATACAAACACTGTTCTCCCACTTCTCTCCGTGGCAAGGATGTCCAAAGAAATTCAACCCTCTGAGAGAATAAATTCCTTCTCACCTCAGTCTTAAATTGGCACTCCTTTGTTCTGAGACTATGGTCCTAGACTCTTCCCATGAAGGCAAATATCCTCTCAGCGTTTCTAACAAGTATATTTTCAGACTGCCAAAAAGGCAGCATGTCACTACTGTAAATCTGTTTTTAAAAATCTTCAGTTGTGGTAATAATATGGCCATATTTGAGAATTGGAAACCACTGAGGCATTATTATTTCTTTCTACACATTAAAAGACATAAAACTTGAGTTACAGCTATATGATAAATTTACTGTGGGGTTAGAATTGCTATGAAGTGATGACTTTTTTTATCACCCAATTTTGTCTGACTGTGCAAGATCAATTTTACCCTTGTATACTTTCTCCGTTGGCTTTGAATATTGTTACCCATTTAATTATTTCTTTTTTTTTCTGTCAGTTGCTGCGAGAGCTGAAGCATCCCAACGTGATTGCTTTGCAAAAGGTGTTCCTTTCACACAGTGACAGAAAGGTCTGGCTCCTGTTTGATTATGCAGAACATGATTTATGGGTAAGGACCTAGTCAATAGAATATCAAGCACATAAAATTTCTTCTTCAATATTACATGCAACAAAAATACAAACCCGAGTTCTTTTAAATCTATCATCCACTATAAACCAAAACAACCACTGTTTTGCTATTAGCTAGTCAAAATTTCACAATAGCAACTATTTATTTAGTTATTACATGTTTCTCCTCGCTATCCATAATAATTTCACATGTAGGTAGGGTATACAGTAGCAGTTTAGAAAAAAAGAGTATTTATTAATTCTGATCTTTTGCTTTTGAAAATCAAAATTTTCAAAAGACAAGCAAGTTTCCTCCAGCCCTAGAAAATGGCACCCAACAAAAGGGTACAGATGAGATCCATCAGTCAGGATGGTGGCACTTACTAAGTAGCTTGTTGGAGCTGGAGGAAATGTTCCCTGTCTCTTGACAATTTGCAGAATCAGAAGAACCATTAGAATCATAGCCAGCATGGATTTAATGTAAGACTGAAAGAAATAAGAGCAGAAGCCGACTATTCAGCCCATTGATTCTGCTTTGCCATTCATGGCTGATCTAATAATCCACAACTCCACTTTTCTGCCTTTTCACTATAACCCTTGATTCCCTCACTGATTTTAAAAATCTATCTCAGCCTTGAATATACTTAATGACCCAGCCTCAACAGGTCATAGGCAATTCACTGTGGTAAAGAACTCCACAGATTCATTACCCTCTGAGAGAAGAAATTCCTCCTCATCTGTTTTAAATATGCAACCCTTTTTTCTCGGATTATGCTGCCTGATCCTAGACTCTCGCTCACAAAGGAAACAATTTTTCTCATCTACCCTGTGAAGTCCCCTAAAATTCTTGTACTTTTTTTTAATGAAGTTGCCTCTCGTTCTTTGATATTCTGATTAAGACAGATACAATCTACTCAACTTCTCATAATACAGTCCCTTCATACCTGGTATAAAGCTAGTGAACCTTCTCTGGACCGACTCCAAAACCTCCAAGTTTATCTTTCCTTGGATAAGGGGCGCAAAACTGTTCTCAGTATTCCAGCTGTGGTCTGCATGGTGTCTTGTACAGTTTTAGGAAAACCTCCCTACTTTTATACTTCATTCCCTTTGAAATAAAGGCCAACATTCCATTTACCTTCCCTATTGCCTGCTGAACTAGGATACTAGTACTTTGTAAGTTATGAATGAGGATTCCCAAATATCACTACTGTAACTTTCTGCGGCCTTTTTCCATTTTAATAGTATTTAGCTCCTCTATTTTTCTTGCCAAAGTGCATAATCTCATATTGCCCCACATTATGTTCTGTCTGCCAAGTTTTTGCCTACTCACTTAACCTGTCCGTAATCTTCTGCAGACTCTTTGTGTCATCCTCACCACTTGTCTTGCCATGTATTTTCGTGTCATCCGTAAACTTGGCTATGGTGCATTCGCTTTTCTCATCCAAGTCATTAGTATATATAGGAAATAATTGGCAGGACAGGCAGCTCTTTTTTTTGAGGAGTTTCCCTCCATCACTGCCAATTTATGTTTGTCTTCAGCCTCCCTGTGGAATGCAGCAGGTCTGCACCCTGCCTCAAAAGTGTCCACCATTGCTGATGATGCTGCTGAGGCTTCTGAGTTGTCTGCTCTCTAATAGCATTAATTGGCAGCCCCTGTAAAATAGGGGGAAGTCCCAATGGCCACCTAACCATCATGGACCCTGTATCTGATCTATGTTAGTCTGCTCACCCATTAGCTTAATTTGGCGCATTGATTATGTAGCATGTGCATAATCTGGAGTTGAGAGATTAATTATGAAGAGAGATTACATAAAATAGGATAATATTTTCTGGAGTTTACAAGGTTATATGGTGATCTGATTGAAGTTTAAAATTGTAAGGGTAACAGGGTAGATATTTAAAAACCGAAAGAACTGCGGAAGCTGTAAATCAGGAACAAAAACAAAGTTGCTGGAAAAGCTCAGCAGGTCTGGCAGCATCTGTGAAGGAAAAAACAGAGTTAACGTTTCGGGTCTGGTGACCCTTCCTCAGAACTCAGGGTAGATATTTATATCAGTTGGTGTGTTTACGAGGTGTAGTCTAAATTGGGGTCAGACTTTACAGCAACATTCCTACATATAAAGGCTGGTAAAAGTTTGGAACTTTTTTTTTAGAAAAGCCAATTGATGTAAGGTCAATTGCTAATCTTAAACTTGAGATTTGTTTAAAAAAAAACAAAAGAAATGCGGATGCTGGAAATCAGAAATGAAAACAGAAATTGTTGGAAAATCTCAGTAGGTCTGGCAGCATGTGTGGAGAGATTTGTAGTTTTTTTTAGTAACCAAAGGTATTAAGGAAAATGGGCAAAGATGGTGTATGGTGTCAGGCCACAGATACACCATTCAGTTATATAATGGCTTGAAAAGCTTGAGAGGCTGAATACCCATCTCCTGTTCCTATGATAGGCGTGAAGAGGTAACAAGAATCAAGCATAAACATAAAAACTTGACATTTCCTTGAAACTGCGAAAAGAATTTGGCACTTTACAGATAGTAATGTAAATATAAGGAAGTAATAATAAATTTATGCAGAACACTGGTTGAACCAGAGGCCTTTGCAGGTAAGTTCCTAATTATAAAGATAATTTGGATGAAAAATTATGGTTGTGAGGAAAGACTTGAGATATTGGAGCAGAGAAGGCAAGATTAGATTTAAAGTTATGTGTGTCTTTGGGGTGAATAGGGAAAGATTTTCTGTTGGCAGATGGCTCAGTAATGAGAAGTCATAAACTTAAAATTCTTTGTTAGAAAATGAGAGAAGAGGCTGTAAGTTTTTTTTATTCTCATGATTTGTTGGAACACGGAATGCTTACCACAGAGAGTGCTTTTTGCAGAGGTAATTCATTCTTTTCAATGGGATAAAGATTTGGAGCAGGGAAAGGTTCAGAATATGGTGAGTGTGATGGAATTACTTATAGTGAAGGCACAGATAATGGGGAGAAAATCACCACTTCCAGTTCAGTAAACTGCAGAATTCTGAGGTGTAGATGGATAGAGGTGTTCTAATGTGTGAGTTAATTTGTATGTTAACAGAAAGCTAATATGCAGATATGGTATATAATTGAGAACGCTAATAGGATGCTATCCTTTATTAAATCAGGAATTTTACATAAAAGTTAAGATGTTATGTTTTGGTTATACAGGATACTTTTGAGACTCCCTTCCAAACTGCATTTGGTCACCCTGCAGTGTGTGAACTGTAGTGGTGTGGGAAGGAAACTCATTACCACCATCTTGAGGGAGGTCAGCTGGGGATGACAGTGAATGCTAGGTCAGCCTGTGATGCCCACATCCCTTGAATGAAGAAACTTCTATGGATCTATAAAGTCAGTGAGCAATAACATTGTGTTACTCTGCCCAAAAGCCTCCTAGTGCAGCAGATATCATTCGGTTGTCACGGAGCAGAAACAATTTATTTTGGGCTTTTAAATAAAAGGTTCTTTCCTGAGATATGGGTATTGTCAGCAAAGCTACTATTTGGTTCCCATCCCTAATTGCCCTTGAGGGCCAATATGCACCACACTAGACCAGGTAAGGACAACAGATTTCCTTGCATAAAAGACATAGGTTTATAGGACAATTGATGATGGTTTTGTGATCAGTATTTCTGAGGTAAGCTTTCATTTCAGCTTTTTCTTGGGGGATCAACTAATTGATTTTAAATTCCGTCAATTGCCATGCTGTGATTTGAACCTTAACCTGAGCATTAGCCTGGGCCTCTGGATTACTTGTCCAATGACAATACTTCTTCACTGTGTCCCCCTATGTTGACTGTGTTATAAGAGACAGAAATAGGAGAATGAGAGAATGATGCCATGAAGATGAATCAATTTATAGAGACGGGCCCGATTGCAAGTTCTCAAACTTCTATGATTTGTCTATCCATGTTTAATCCTTCCAACTAAATTGTAATGAAAACACGTCTCTGACATTTCTTTTCTAAAATTGGACCCATAGTTTTTGTTCTATCGATTTCTGTTCTTTTATTCATTTAGCTGAAGACGCTGGGAAGTGATCACAAATCCTATGGTATATTTGATATAATTCAACACCATAGAATATGTTCCTTCAACTTTAGAAATATTGTTACATTTCAGTTACTTGTTTGGGCCTGCTTATGGAAAATGCTTAACTTGGTGAACACAGGGATGCATGGGAACAAGACCAAACTGTCACCTTGAAATAAAGGATTAGAAATCTTAAATCTCAAACTGAGTACTATATTCCCAATTTTGGATCAATATGCTAAGGTTCTGTTCTTGTAGTGAATAATAATAAAGCATAAATACATGAAATTGTGCCATGAAGTGGCATAAAATTTGAGCTTTGCCAAATATTATTGCTGTGCAGTGAAGACCTGTTGCCAATCCTGTAATAGACCTGGAATTTTTTCCTGGAGGTTCATAAATCAATATCTGTCATATCTGCTTTGTATATGCCAATGAATAAATCTCTGCTATATCTTCGTTAACCTATAATGAGAAAATAATTTCAATTAATGTAAAACAAAATGTCAGGAGCAGTAAATTTTTTTGCTGTGGTGTCATCAATGAACAATGCATGGAGGGTATTGATAATGTAAAATCTGTTATGAACTTTAGGATTTAATTTTTTTTCTAATTTGTTTTGCTATTTTGCAGCATATTATCAAGTTCCATCGTGCCTCAAAAGCAAATAAAAAGCCAGTACAGCTACCAAGGGGAATGGTCAAATCACTGCTTTATCAAATACTTGATGGAATTCATTATCTCCATGCAAACTGGGTTCTTCATAGGGACTTGGTAAGTAAAATACTCTGAAAGTTAATGAAGAAACAGAACTTGAGTGCTTCTGCAGAAAATGTTACGAGACCAAGGCCCAATTTTGGCTGACTTTGAGCCTCCTGGTTGGTTGTGGGTGCATTGCCAAAAATTTCCATTCTTATCATCTATTGACTGGGACCTCAGTAAGTTCCACGTGACCACAACAGACTGTCTATGCTTTGCAAATCATAAAATCTGAGCAATATTTGAGCACATCTTATTTGTATTGTGTTGAGTATGGTGATGAACTTGCATGCTATTGTAAAATGAAGTCCACTTGTACATAATTTTATCTAGGTCTACAGAGGCCTGAAATGCAAAGTCAGGCAGGTGCTCTGTTATTATGTTGACAAAAAAAGGAAAAAAATGTCAGCTTGTTGTTATGAAAAGTTGACCTTGGATTTGCCTGTTGCAAAACAGTAGGGCCAGGTGGCTGGTCAAAAGTATAAATTATCATTATGAATTTGTACTGAGTGATCTACCTGGCAACATCATGAAACAAAAGCTATAGTCACAACATGACATATCTTTACTCATGTGGCCTTGAGGTTTGCCATCCTATTCAGATAGGTCTTCTTTAAGATTAAATCTTGTGCATTTTAAACTTACATATATAGGAATGCCTAATTTCAAACAGTAGTTACATTCCTAGAAATCATTTCTTAAAGTAGAGTTACTTATGGTGAAACAGGTTTACTCACTTAAATGCATGTATAATCAGGGAATGGGTATCCATCCAAGGTTTCTAACCCGTTACTCAAAAGGTATTTGATTTATAAGCCACAAATAAACAAAAAAACACAAAACACACAATGCGTAGTGCACAAAAACAATTTACATTCTCCATTATGGAGATGGGAAGGTGTAACTGGGAGACCAAAGTTAGAAGGTTCTCCTCTGTCTCATCCTTTGCTTTGAAGAAGGGTCAAGTGGATGAGTAAACATGAAAGAGGCTTGAGGCTACTGGATGGGTAATGTGAGATTGAGGACTGGGGAGACTTGGGATCACTGGGCATTCCCCAACACAGCTGATCCATGTGACACATTCAAATCCAGCCCCAGTGTGGCTGCCTCCCAACACATCACTCACTCGCTCCTCCTGGGCAAAGTCACAGATTCCTCTTTGCTTTCCATCTCGAGCCTCCTTAGCTGTTGACTAAATTGGCACATGTTCACATAAGGATATAAGAAAAGAGCAGAAGTAGGCCATTCAGCCCTGCAGGCTCACTGCAGTAAGATTGTGCCTGATCTTCTACCTCAATCTCCTGCGATATTCCTTGATGCTTTTTCTATGTAGAAATTTGGCAATCTCAGTCTTGAACATTCTCAAGGACAGAGCCTCCATACCCCTTTTGTAGCAGAAAATTCCAAAGATTCACCAACACCTTAGTGAAGGAATTCCTCCGCATATCAGCTCCTTATTCTGTGACCCTTTTGGTTCTAGACCCCTTTGGCCAGAGGAAACATCATTGCTTAATCTCCCCTGTTGATCCCAGTAAGAATTTTGTATGTTTTAATGAGATTATTTCTCTTTTTTTTTCCAAATTCCAGAGAATATAGGTCCCTAGAAACCTAGGAGGCTGTTCATCCAGCATTCTTGTGTGGGTTCTCTGCAACAGTGGCTTAGCTTGACCTGCTCCTCTGCCTGTTCTCTGTAGACCTGCAGTTTGTTTTCTTCAGCTACTTATCTGATAGGTCTCTGCAGGACAAAGAAAAATAATGGGGAATTCTGCTGTACACCACATGTAATGTTTGTGCAACACAAACTGACCAGCGGCCCTGGAAACAAATCACAACCAAAGAGTGACTTCCTGTGCCCCACAGTTGAAAGCAGGCAGCAACATTCTGAATGGTCCAGAGGCACTGATCTAGAGGCCTGCCTGCAGTGTTATCAGTGGCAGAATGGCGTCGCAAACCGGAAGGTGCAGTAATAATAAAGATTGATGAACTTGGACTGTCTGAAAAGAAACCAAAGATGAACGTCTTCCACATGGAATGGGAAAATTAATTTCTGGCCACATCTGTAAAAGATAAGAATGTTTACCTTCTTTGTCACCAAAGTATAATGATAAGTTTAACAAGTAGAATTTTTGGAATGCAAGTACACAACAAGGCACAGTAAATTCAAGATAACAAGGTGTAGAGCTGGATGAACACAGCAGGCCAGGTAGCATCAGAGGAGCAGGAAAGCTGACCCTTCTTCTGAAAAAAAGTTCCTACTATCTCACAGTAAATTCAAAGATATTTTCCCTTGAACAGCAGACTTCGGACTGAAGACCATTTTGAAAGTCATACTTGCTCTGACCAGGGGCAAAGAAAGGGCCTTCCCTGAAGCATGATTTTGCATTTTCATCTTCTGGCAAAACATAAGAAATCATTCACAGATGGTGAAGTATTAAATAAGCCAGGACTTTGGAATCTTGTCTGCAGATATCTTTCAGCAACTATCTATTGGCAAATTGGATCCATTGTGGGCTCAGTGACAGGAAGCAGAGGGTTGTTATTGAGTTTCTTTTTCTGACTGGAAGTCTGTGTCCAGTTGGGGCCCTTGCTGTTGATATAAATGATTTAGACTTGAATGTAGGAGGATTAATCAGTAAATTCACAGATGATTCAGAAATTGGTGGAGTGGTGAATGTGAGGAGGATAGCTTTATATTACAGGAGAATACAGAGGGGTACAGGTCAGATGGGCTGATCAATGGCAATTGGAATTCAGACTGCATAAATGTGAGGTGACGCACTTGGGTAGGACAGACAAGGCAAGTGAATGCATGAACAGGGAAGATCCTGGGAAGCACCGAGGATCAGAGGGATGTAGACAGGTATCAGGACAGGCAGCTAAAATAGTTAAGAAGGTGTATGGAATATTTGCCTTCATTAGATGAGGCATAGAGTTTAAGAGCTATGAGATTATGCTGGAACTGTATAAGATGTTGGTTAGGCTATAGCTAGACTATTGTGTGCTGGAATCCACTCTGTCTCTTTCACTCGCTCTCGCTCTCTCTCTCTCCCTCTCTCTCACACGTGAATCTATGGGGTAAATTAGTATTTGCAGATACATTCTATTTTGTTCAAAGAGCACAAAGTTTATAGACAGTTGGTCAATGTGATATTTTACAATTTCCTCCTTTAGAAATAAGACCAATCTGACTCCAAACCAAAACCCAAACAGATTGTAAACAAGGCCTCACACCAAATATGCATTGTCTGACCTAAAATATCACCTCTTCTTTACACTGATTAAACCTTTAGTTCTCTCAGGACAGTGACTTGAAAGGAATTCTCAGGGGTTTACATATACATATTAATCAATTAAATTGATTTAAAGATTTAACAGCATCTTAGGTTTGTTTAATATATCCTCATCGGTGGTGTGACTTTTTGATCTTTTACTTATAAACTCTGTGTCTGATACTACCTTTCTTGCTAACACCTGAAGAAGAAGCAAGGCTCCGAAAGTTTGTATTTTCAAATAAACCCGTTGGACTATAATCTGGTGTCGTGTGATTTCTGACCTTGTCCACCCAGTGTAACACTGGCACCTCCACATAAAGACTTTATATTTGCTAATGAGAATATCTATGCTATTTGTTTTCTATTACGCAGTTTCAGATCATTCAGCCATTAACTTGCTCTCTCTGACTGTAATATCTGGTATTTACCTTTTCTTTTAGAGCAATCTTGAAGGACTGGATGGCCTCCTCCTGTTCTATTTTGTTTTTCTCCTTTTTTAACATTGGGTAAAAAATACATTTACTTCTGTATTAGTTCTCAGTTCCATGCACATCAAAAATGTTAGTGTACTTTCCGGATGCTGACTGATCAGTTTCTTCCAGCAGTTCATTACTTTTATGTATAGCAATGTAGAACAAGAGTGAGAATGCTTGAATTCTCTGTTATTGCATTTGCACCATGATGTGTCTCAGGCCTGATGTAAAGTTTAAAGAACTTACCCCATTAACTAGCATTTGCTACACATTGCGGACCCTGGTGATTTGATTCTGCAGTTCTTCCTAACTGAGGTAACTGACTTTAGAGATTTTGAGAGTGACACAATCCAGCACAAACCGGGAAACAAAAATGTGCAGAACAGTTATAATCAAACAATACTGCTAGAACTTGAGGCAGGTGAATGACATTTGGGCCAAGTTTGGCTTCTGCTGTGCTACACAAACTTTAAATGATTACTTTGAAATGGGAATAAACATCTGTAGTGATTAGAACAAGGTCAGCCAGGTGAACTTCAATGAATATGAGGTGCCTGATTGGACCAGGTTAACAGCCCCAATCAGGGAGTCCTGGCTGACAGATATAAACAGGAGTGTCAGGGGTTCTGCTCACAGTAGGGGCCAACTCTGTGCTAGCCAGGTCATTGCCATGCTCTAGGCATGTGTAAATAAAGAGTGACTTTGTGATGGGATACTGGCCTTCATGGAGCTTTTACAATCTGTGAGGAAGAAAATATCTAGTGGATTTTTCAGACCCTTTGAAGTCAGTGTTGGATTGCAGGTCAATGAATCATCAGCCAGCTACCCATTCAATCACTCAATTGAGCGCCTTTTCTTGCTTTCTCTGGAATTTAATCATTCGTGAGGGAAGTTTGTCCACTATTAAGAGAGACCTCCAGCATCTTAGGGTTGACTTCTTTGGGACTCTTTGACCCATGATGAGCCCCCAAGTGACAATGGCTGCTCCTGTGCCACCCATCCTCAAGAATAGTCTCTTTTCCAGGGCCTACCTGACATTCCCCAGTTCAAACTTACTTGGTTTTGATGGTACATATCTAGTGATGTGATCACACTCCAGGTTGACCCCAAGGAATACCCACCAAGGATGGGTACAGCAGTGTGGAAATAACTTGGCAGTTTTGGGGTGATATTGGCCAGTAATCCAATGGCTTGGTCTCTGGGACACAGGTTCAAACCCGTGATGACAACTTGGAGGAATTTAAACTTATTTGATCAATCTAGAAAAAAATTTATAAACCTGGTCTAAGTAATGGTGACCAATCTATAATCTGTTGTCCTGAAAATCCATCTGGCTCGCTCAAGTCTTTCAGGGAAGGAAATCTGCCATCCTTAACTAGTCTCATCTACTTGCAGCTCTAGGTCCACAACAATGTGGTTGGCTCTGACTGTCTTCTGAAATGAAGTAGCAAGCCACTCAATTCAAGGGTAATTTGGGTTAGGCAACAAATGCTGGTAACAAATCACATTGTGCTTGTCATTTTAAGTTAATCTGCTCAGTGTGTTTTTTAATTCACAGGTTGTAGGTTTCACTGGCAAGGCCAGCATTTATTGCCCAATCTAATTATGCTTGAGAAAGTGGTGATGAATTAGCTTCTTGAATACTGCTGAGTAGCATACTTAGATGTTTGACATGGTATTTAAGAGGTAACCACATTGCTGTCTGTCTGGAGTCACATTTAGGTCAAATTTAGTTATGGACATCAAATTTCCTTCCTGAAAGGACACCAGTAAATTCATTTGAATATTCAGACAATTCAGTTGTTTATCTTACATGACTGCAGTCTTGAATATCTTTTTCTTCTGATAATTGATACCGGAAGTAAAATCGAGCCTTTGAAAGTTACCCAATGCCTTTGTATATTTAGTCAATGAGTGATAAATTTTTTCATATCTAATTAAAAAGATTTTTGATATTTGTCCAAATTATGAATTTGTAGAGTCTTAAATATGAAATGTATCTTGATGAAAAGCAAGATCAAATTCAAAATTGTGCTGCTACTTTGAACTGTTACTAAGAGACATGAAGTCTTAGTGGGTTTATATTAATTAACTGAACCTCTTCATGAAAGTGGATTATTCTTTCAATATGGATCACATGCACTGTAGTGTAATTAATGCAAATCATGCTGTTTTGATTTCTGTTTTTGTGTATAATGTAATGGTGTATGTGCCTTATTTCTCATCAAAGCTTGGCTAACCACAGAATGTCTCTGTCTCTTTTTAGCCCATGTTGTTTCTGATCTACTTAATGTTGATATTGAGTGCCAAATAGTAAAAATCATTCCTCCTTCCAACACTGCATCTTTCACTGATGTGTGCAAAAGTTCAACTCCACCAGTGCCCAAAGCATTTAAATAATCTTTTCATACAGTCTGGTGAAATCTATCGTCTGGATGGCCTTGAGTTTAAACAATATTTATTAATATCCTAAAATATATAGTGAAAACCTTAATCAGCGTGAAGAAAGTAGGTTTTCGAGTCTGTCTCATGGCTCCATCAATGTGCTATTTTTATTATTTTTCAGCATTGAACTTATTTTTATTGTTCAACAGAACATTTAGTTTTAATTAGCAGAATATTTCTAGCTTAGAATGAGGTGTTTACATTTTCCAAACAATAGAATAGCTGGTTATAATGGTAGATTCAGATGAGAAAAGATGGCAAGTGGCTCGACGGGAGCACAAACATCAGCATGGAGATTGAGCAAACTGCTGTTTTTGTTGCAGAATTTTTTGTGATTTGTCTAAGTTTTCCAGCAAAGAAGAAAGATGTTATTGTGAGAATATGTAACACTTTTATGAGGGAAAGATGTTACTATCCTGAACTGATAAATGCGTTCTTAGCTTGTGATTTGTGCAAAAGTTGATTCGTGCAACAATCCATTATTTTAATATACAAGTGGGGGAAGAAAATAGAATTAATTAAGATGCTGGAAATGTACAGCAAAGCTGCTAGCCTCTATGAAGAGAAAGGACTGTCCATAATTTTACAGACAAATTTAGCACATCATCTAAATTTCAACATCTATTCATCTATTCTGACTCATTGTTGCAAAGTTATGTTTTTAAACTTCTACAGCATTGTATTACAAATAAGTAATGTAATTGTTGTCCTGGAGTAAAATATTCATTTAGGTAACAACTTAACGTGCTACAACTTCTTGTACCTTTGTGAATTTGAAATCTACTTGTCAAAAGTTCTGTTGTTCATATTAATTTTGGTGGATTTGATACTCAGGCTTACTTTAATGAGTGGGATTTTTTGGAATGTGGGGCTTCCCACCCTATCACCCAAAAGCTGACTGGGAAATGCATCCTCCAAGGGGTGTTAATTAACAGGAGGCAGGATTTTTGCACCTCCCTCAGGAGGAAGAACCACTTTGGAGCTGCTGGCTAATCTGATAGGCTAGCAATTTTACAATCCAAGCAGTTTTACTGGGAGTACAACTGGTAGTCCCACCCGTCTAAAAATTGAAATCCACGGTGGGTTCAGGGTCTTGCAGCAAGGACAAGGGAGATGATTGAGTGGGTGATGAGGTGGGGGCCATGCTGGCAAAGAAGGGGAGTAGGAGCAGTAGCGTGGCAGATCTGGAGTGGTGGTTCAAAGAAACAGTGGAGTACCACAACAAGAAGTGTGAATTTCCTCTTCCAGGGAGCCTTCCTGGGCAGTTGGAGACCCAGTTCTGGACTGAGGCAGGCAGCCAATTTAAATGTTTAAGGCCATAATTAGGGGTGATTTTTAGAGGAAATGGCAGCAATTTTCCAGTTGGAGCAGGTTCCCCTCAGCAACCCACGTGTAACCATCCAGTGGCTAGCTAGGCACCAATTGATACCAGAAACATCAATCAGTAAAGAGGAGGTCCCAAGCATCAAAAGATATCCCCACAACCTCAACGATCCAGGTGGAAGGGTTTTCCCTTCAGTCTAGGGGTTTATTGCCTAACCCCTGTTAAATCATTATTTTCTAAGAGTACATCTATTTTGGGGTGGCCTCACAGTCTTCTGTCGGCCTCTCTCTGTTTGGGCTGCTGAGACCTCAGGGCATCTGGCCTTCTGATTATTCCATCAGAAAAGGGATCCAGCCCACTGTCCCAACTTGGCTAGTGAGCCTGGAGATAGCCAATTTAGAGGCTGCCTCCTAAATATCACAGTGCTGGTTTTGCTGACAAGCAGTGCAGGCTTGGAACACAGATATCAGTGTCTTTTTTTCTTTATTCTTTCATACAATATGGTTGTTGTTGCCCATCCCTAATTGCCTGTGAGTGGAAAGGGTATTTAAGAGTAAGTCACATTCCTGTGGATCTGGCATTGTGTAGAGACAAGACTCGATAAGGACACAGGTCATTAATGAACTATATGGGTTCTTACGACATTTTGATGATAGATGCATGGTCACCATTACTGAGAGTAGCTTTCAATTCCAGATTTTATTATTTGTATTTAAGCGTACACAAGCCATAATGAAATTTGGACCTGTGTCCTCAGAGCATTAGCCTGGGTTGCCCAGTGACATTATCACTACACCAATCTCTCCTCAACGGGACCTAAAGGCTTTGGAAAAATGCTACCCAAAAATTTCATGTGTTGTTATGTTTGGTGACAGCAATATGTGGAAAGGCAGGCTTGAATATTTGTCTTAATTCTTTGTTGCAGCATTCCTGCATTTGAATTCATGATGGCACCACAAAATTGGATATCAGACTAATACTATTAGATATGAAGATGTGTGACCCTTATATTTACTACAGATTATATTTGAACTTTAGTTGTGAAGGATTAATGTGTCTTTCATTCATTCCTTTTTCTCCTTCAGAAACCAGCAAACATCCTAGTGATGGGGGAAGGACCAGAACGAGGACGTGTAAAAATAGGTAAATATCACTGTTTCTATCTTTTCCATGGGTACATTTTGTTCTGTGTAAGTTTAAAGATTCGTGTGGCTGCCTTTTAGACCAAAAGGAAAAGCCTACAAAGTTAATTTGAGAACACCAGGGCTCTTCAAGCACCACTATTTGGAAGTTCCATATGAATTTATAAAGGCATGTTTAGTCAAATCAGTTTAAACCTAAACGTAAAGCAAATAAACACATTTTGATTTGAGAGATAGTAGGAACTGCAGATGCTGGAGAATCTGAGATAACAAGGTGTAGAGCTGGATGAACACAGCGGGCCAAGCAACATCAGAGGAGCAGGAAAGCTGAAGAAGGGTCTAGGCCCGAAACGTTAGCTTTCCTACTCCTCTGATGCTGCTTGGCCTGCTGTATTCATCCAGCTCTACACCTTGTTATCTCAGATTTTGATTTGACATGGTTTTTTTTATTGCATATGTTTCTTACACCTGTGGATGAGAAACAATCAGTAGAAGAAAAAGAATATTAATGATTGATAATATGTTAAAGATTTAGATGAGGGAACTAAATATAATATTTCAAAATTTGCGGATGACACAAAGTTGGTTGGAAAGGTGAGCTGTGAGGAGGATGCAGCACTGTGATTTGGACAGGCTGAGTGAGTGGGCAAATATATAGCAGAAGCAGTATAATGTGGAAAAATGTGAGTTTATCTACTTTAGTAGCAAAAATAGGAAGGCACATTATTAGTTAGATGACGGTAAATTGAGAAAGAGGAATGTTTAACAAGATCCGGGCATCCTTATGCACCCAGTTATTGAAAGTAAGCGGGTAGGTGCAGCAGGCAGTAAAGAAAGCAAACTCTATGTTCACCTTCGTAATAAGAGGGTTCACCTACAGGAACAAGGTTGTCTTGTTGCAATTATACAGGGCATCGGTGAGGCCATACCTGGAATCTTGTGTGCAGTTTTGGTTTCCTTATCTGAGGAAGGATGCTCTTGATGTAGAGGGAGTGCAGTGATGGTTAACCAAACTGATTCCTGGATGGCAGACTGACATATGAGGAGAGATTGATTCAGTCAGGATGGTATTCATTGGAGTTCAGAAGAACGAGGGGGGATCTCATAGAAACCTAAAGAATTCTAACAGAACTAGACAGGTCGGATGCAGCAAGGATGTTCCTGAAGTTGGGGTTTCTAGAGCCAGGGGCCATAGTTTAAGGGATAAACCTTTGAGGACTGAGATGAGGAGAAATTTCTTCACTCAGAGTGGTGAGCTAGTAGAATTCAATACCACAGAAAGTGGTTGAGGTCAAAACATTGTGTTCTCAAGAGGGAGGTAGATATAGCTCTTGTGGCTAAAGGGATCAAGGAGTATGTGGGGGTGGGTGTGCAGGATTATGATATTGAGTTTGATGCTCAGCCATGATCATATTGATTGGTGGAGCAGGCTTGAGAAGTTGGATGGCCTACTCCTGCTCCCGTGTTCTATGTTAAGAAGGAACCTCACCCTGCTTATAGCTCAGTCACCCACTATGAAAGCTTAATCTCACTTTACTGACATGAGGCCCAAGTACAAGATTGACTTTTTGCTTTTGATCATTACGACATCCATGATAATTGCATTTGAATTCAGTTAAAATGGAAGAAATTGGAACAGGAGTAGACCATTTAGCTCCTCAAACCTGCCCCACTGTTAAACAAGGTCATGGCTGACTACCCCAGGCTCCAAATCCTCTTTTGTGCCAGCTAAGCATATCCATCAATACCCTGATGTTTCAAAAATCCACCTTATTCCTCTTTAAATAGTTGTAATGATGTAGCCTCACAATTTATTGGTGTAGAGATTTCCAGATATTCACTACTCCCTGGGAGAAGAAATTCCTTTGTATTTTAGTTTTAAGTGAGTGTGTCCTTAATTGCAACTGTGTACCCTGGTTTGAGATGCCCTGACTAGTGGAAATAGCATCTCAACAGTCACCCTGTCAAGCCTTCTCAGAATCTTGTATATGTATATAAAAACACCCTTCGTTCTTCTAAACTTAAACGAATAAAGATCTAACTTGTTTAGCCATTCTTGATAAATCAACTCCACCATCCCAGGAATCAACCCAGTGAATCTCTTCTGAACTGCCTCCAATAGCAGTATATTCTCTTTTAAATATGGGGACCAAAACTGTGCACAGCTCTCTAAGTTCGGTCTCACCAAAGCTCTGTACATTGGAACAAAACTTCCCTCTTTTCAAATTCCAACCTCTAGCAACAGAGGCCAACATTTAAATTTGCCTTGTTAATTATCTGCTGTACCCACATGCCAATTTTTATGTTTCATGTACAAGAACTCCCAGATCTTTCTGTGCTTTACTTTCATGGAGTCTGTCTCCATTTAAATAAGTCTGCCTTTGATTCTTCCTATTAAAGTGCATGGCCTCTCACTTTTTTACATTATGTTCCTTCTGCCAAGTTTTTGCCCAATTGCTCAACCCATTTATATCCCCGTGTGGATTCTTTATGTCTTCATGACAATGTGCTCCCCGCCTATTTTTGTATCACTGGTAAATTTGGAAACGTCACACTCTGCCCCCTCCTCCAAGTCAGTAATACAGGTAGTAAATAATTGAGGCCTTAGGGCTGATCCTTCTGTCACTGTACTAGTGACTGCCGACTCTCTATATCCTGTTTGTTAACCAGTTTTCAATCCATGCTAATACATTACCCCAATATTGTGAGCTTTTATCTTGTGCATTAACTTTTTGTGTGGCACCTTGTCAAATACCTTCTGAAAATCCAAATACACTACATCTACTGGTTCCCTTTTATCAAGTCTGCTTGTTATAGCCACTTCCTTTTATTTCTTCATGAGATGTGAGCATTTCTGGCAGGACCATAAGTTGTTGCCCGTTCCAACTTGCATTTGAGAAGATGGTGATGAGCAACTATTGTGAACCTCTGTGGACCCTGTGGTACAGATACGCCCACGGTGTTGTCAAGAAGGGCGTTTCAGGATTTTGATGCAGTGATATTTAAGAAATGACAGTAGAATTCCAAATTTAGAAAGGTTTTAGAAAGGAAATCTGCCACATAAATGCAGTGGTGATATCGAGCTTCTTGAGTAATGTTGGAGTTGCAACCATCCAGGCAAGTCGGGAATATTCCATCACACTCCTGACTTGTATCTTGTATATGGTCGACAGGAATTACGGAGACAGGTGTTGATGAACTCGCTGTAGAATTCCTAGCCTATGACCTGTTCTTCTAGCCACTGTATTCACATGGCTGGCCTAATTTGGCAGTCAGAATGGCAGATGCCTGGGGTTCATCTGCTCCTATCTGCTTTTATTCTATTCTTTTCATCTTTACACTTTTGCCCTTTTTTTTCTTCATTTTCTTTTCTTTAAAGCCTGGAGAGTGACGGGTGAAGGATGAGGTTTCCAGCAGCAGTGGCAGCAACACCAGACAAGCCAGACATGGCTCCGCCTGGGGTTGCCCGGTGAGCGAGGAGTGGGTAGTGTTTGGGCTGAGCCTGTCTGCTTCAGGCCGGCCACATTCCTTTTCTCTCTCACCTTTTCGGTTTTTCTTTTTCTCTTTTCTCCATGTTCCGGGTGTTGCAGGGACAACGGAGTGGTGACAGTGGGGAATTCTGGCTTTGTAGGCCTGATGCATGGACTCCTGGAATAGCAGCAGGATGTTGGCTGCAGCAATGGCAGAGCAGGGACTCCTGACTGCAGTAGGCCTGGAATATAGACTCTTGGTGGCGGGTCATCGAAAGCGGTGGTGTTGGTCCCCGGAGCAGGGACTCCTGACTGCAGTAGGCCCAGAGTGGGAACCTTGCAGAAGTCCTGGAGCTGTGTTTGGGCCCCAGGCCAATGATCTCTATTTAAGTACTTTCTTTTATTCATCTTGTACCTCCCAAAATGGCGCTGGATTGTGACGACAGAACACATTTCACTGTATCTCCCTAGATATGTGACAATAAATAAATCGACAAACAAATAGATTTTGCTTCTGGTCAATGCTAGCACTCAAGATGTTGAAAGAGGGGGATTTAATAAGGTAATGCTATTGAATGGCAAGGGTGGTGGTTAGATTGTCTTTTGTTTGAGATGACATTGCCTGCCACTTGTGTGATGTGAATGTTATTTGTCACTTGTCAGTCCAAAATAAATAAACAAATAGATTTTGCTTCTGGTCAGTGGTAATACTCCAGATGTTTGTCACTTGTCCATCCAAAGCTGGACATTGTTCAGGTCTTGCTGAATATGGACATGGACAGCTTCAATATCTGAGGAGTCACCACTGGTGCAATCATCCATGAACATGCCCGCTTCTGACCTCATGATGGAAGCAAGCTAAAGATGATTGGCCCTAAGACACTAACCTGAGAATCTCCTACTGAGATGCCCTTGTACCTGAGATGACTTTCAAAAACTGTAACCATCCTCCTATGTGCTGGTATGACTCCAACCAGTGCAGATATTTCCCCCAATTCCCATTAATTCGATCTGTGCTAGGGCTCCTTAATGCAATACTCTGTCAAGTGCTGCCTTGATGTCAGGCAGTTCAAAAGCGATTCACTAGGCTGATTCCTGGAATGGTGGGGTTGACTTATCGAGAACAGCTAAACAGGTTAGACCCCTTTATTTTAACTTCTGAAGAAGGAGGACATTTATGAGGAAATTTTGATCATGATTTCTGCAGAAGTGTGGAACTGTACTTCCATCATGACAATTTTCCGTACTGCAGAACTGTTGGAGGAAGAAAAACCACAAGTTCTTTTCATAGCAAAAACAAAAGTTGCTGGAAAAGCTCAGCAGGTTTGGCAGCATCTGTGAAGAGAAAACCAGAGCCTCAGAACTGAGGAAGGGTCACCTGACCTGAAACATTAACTCTGATTTTCTCTTCACAGATGCTGCCAGACCTGCTGAGCTTTTCCAGCAACTTCAGTTTTTGTTCCTGATTTACAGCATCCACAGTTTTTTTTTGTTTTGTCTTTTCATAGCAGTCAGCTGCTATCTGCCGAAATTTAAAATGCCAGATGCTGTTTGACAGCAACTGTCAAAGTAGCTAAGTGCATAAAATAAAAGTAATTTTCAGGCATTGCAAGGGTGGGGTGTCAGATGGGTAGGCTGCCATGTAAGTAGGGTGTCAGCTAACCAAGGAGTAGGATGCCAGATGGTAGAGGTTAGGGTGCCAGGTGGGTAGGATGCCATGGGAAGGGGTAGTGTGCAAGGTGGCAAGGGGCTAGGTAAGTGATGCATTGTGTAGGATAGGTTGGGAAAAATTGAGTCCAGAGGGGTTTACGTGGGTGTCAGGTCTGGCAGCGGTGGGTGCAGTTTGGTGAAAAGTGTCGGCGGGGGAAGTCGGGTCCAATGGATAGGAATGGTGCAGGGTGGCAATGTGTGGAGCGTGCCATGTGACAGAAGGAAGGGCAGGTTGATTGTGGTGCTATTGGAGGACGAGTCAAGTGCAGAACGGAGGAAGGGGAAATGTGTCCAATGGTGAGGCAAGGAGTTTGGATGTGGAGCAGGGAAGGATACAGGTCTCAGGGGAATGTCAAGTCGGGATCTGAAGTGTGTAAATAGTCTGGGGAGGTGTAGGTGGAAGTGTGTGAGGTAAGTCTGGGGTCAGTTGTATAGTTACTCAGATTTTAAACTATGTATTTGATAGTCCTTGAGTAGCTATTGACATCAGAATCCTCCAAATTCTCTGATTTAAATGGAGACACTCCGAGGGTTCCAAGCCTAGAGGAATTGCCCAGCAGAATCTTCCATTTCCCAGGCAGTTCTTTCAGAGTCTGCTGCAATAGGGATTGTGCAGGGTCTCCATGCACAACTCTTAACTCTGCTGGAATAATGACTGTCAGGCCATTGGAAAATCTGGCCCAATGTTTCTTTTTATGGGGAATGGCAAAACTAGAAGTGTCGATACAAGATAATCAGCAAGAAATTAAATAAGGAATTCTGAAAACATTTCTTTAGCCACCCTGTGGTAAGAATGTTGAACTCGCTACCACAGGGAGTGCTTGAAGTGAATAGTATGGATGTGTTTAGAGGTACCTTGACAAATATTTAATGGAGGAAGGAGTAGCTGGTTATAATGGTAGGTTTAGATAAGGAAAGTTGCGAGGAAGCTCAAGTATATGCCTTCTTTTTCTGGCGTGGAGGGGACTGTTTAGCTCAGTTGGCTAGATGGATAGCCTGTGATTCAGAATAATGTGAATAGCATATTTTCTAGCTGAGGTAGACCTGGGCTCTGTCTCTCTATCCTGCCCTGGTGAATGGAAGGCAATGACAAACCGCCACTGACAAACACTGCTAAAGAATGCTCAGGATGAAGCATTAGCAGACAATGAAGCAAGGACTTGGCATTGGACAGAACACTCAAGGAACGGAATAGAATATCCAAGCGTTGATAGGCATTCCCATCACAGTTGTTTTGTAGATGATGTCCTGCCTTCACACTGACAATGATGTGGATTGCTGCTGGGCTGGCCATGTGCTTAGCATGCCTGATTTCCAGCTACCAAAACAAATCATCTTTGCCTGGATGAAGGAAGCTGGATTGTATTGTGTTACACTGTAACAATGGTGAAAGGGATAAATTGAGACTGAATCAGATAGCTAAGGAGGCAATTGGAGGTTGCTGGTTTCTTTAGGCTGTTATGAGGATGTGTTCCTCCAGTTAACCACTACCCTAAACTGAAAGTCCTGATTCAGTTGAATGTAAAAGAAAGCTAATTTGTTTATGGTCACATTCTGTTCTGACTTTCCTTGACTGAGATAAAGATGAGTATGTTGTTTTCAAGCCTGCAAGTTGTTGCCACCCGTGGAACCAAACACCAGTAACAGCTAATATCCTCAAGAAATAGAGAATCTAGGAATAAAGATGCACGATTTCACAAACAGTTCACTTTTATACAAGTAATTTGGTTGCTTGCCATTATAGGCCAACAATAATGCACGTTACTAGAAAATTTTCATTTTTATTTACTGTTTAAATTATACCAGCAGGTTATTTCCTTGGTGTGTTAAACAGGCAAGGAAAAAAAATGCGAATGTAAAACCAAAATAGCAAATTCTTAAACAATGCTACATATATTCAGCAGGTGAGGCAGCATCTGTAGAGAGAGGATTGATGTTTCATCATAAGGTGAAAACATTGTCTTGCATTCAAAGAAACAAACTTAACATTAATGATTTAACTTGGATTTAAATTCCATGTTGTTTAATATTGAAGCATATTTGAGTCAAATAATTGAAGTGCAAGGTATGGAAAACGGTGAATTTAATGAGTGATCTCTGCCGTAATCTCAGAATATTTAAAATATTTTTCAGGGATTATGTTTAAGGAATTCAGAGATTTCTTTTTACTCCCATTTTAAGATATTGCAAGTAATGGATGATAATTTTGTGTAAGCACGGAGTGACACCCCACCAAAATATCTTTGGAAATATAATTATGTATTATATAAATGGTACATATTTTCTTAAATGCATGTGCAGTTGAGATTATTCATCTGTCAGTAATTAAAAAGATAGTCATGTTTTAAATTGTAATTTACATATTTTTAATTTCCAGCTGACATGGGCTTTGCCAGACTGTTTAATTCTCCTCTAAAGCCTTTGGCTGATTTGGATCCAGTAGTAGTAACATTTTGGTATCGTGCGCCGGAATTACTGCTTGGAGCCAGACATTATACAAAAGCAATTGGTAGGTTACTACTTTAGGTACCTGTTTGAGAAACCAAGTGGATAATTTCATGCTTCACCACACAATACTTCATTTGCCATCTTTTGCTCAACCAGTTGAACCAGTTTATATTCTTTCCAGTCTCTTCCTGATTCCTCACATGATTCCTCACAGCTTGCTTCCCTACCACAACATTTAAAATCTTCAATCATCTATAAAATAATCACATAAACAATCCTCTATATATAATATATATACATATTGAGTAGAATTTCATGTTGATGATGTGTGTCTCAACTGCAAGCTGTACAACCAGTAGAATCTGCATTTCGCCACCTTTGCTGAAGACCTGCAGCAATTAAATGTCCATCTGAGGCACTAGAGTGTAAGATTGTGGGGGTGGAAACCCTATCTCCTTCCCAACTCCCTGAGAAGCTTCCAGTCAGACAGAGTCAGTTAGGCTCTGGGTGCCTTTAAATGAGAGTTCCACATCCCAGAAGCAAACTTGGGCTCCAGTGCAGTGACTTCCCCACCAGTGGTAGCAGGACAGGGGTCTTTAAGCGATGCAAAGTTCTCATTTTAAGGCACTTGATAATCTTCTAAGTGGGAAGGCAACCCATGAACCTCCTGCTTTGAACTTAATCAGATGGAGGTGGGAAAGTGACCTGGTTCCCCCACCCACCCCCCAACAACCTCCTGCCTGATTAAATGTCTTCCCAATTTTAAATGTGTATCATTGAAATAGGTGAGATATGAAGCTAAAGACTTACAAGAACAAAGACGTAACTGCATAGTCTGTCAAGGCTCACACTTAAATGTTGCCTGGGTAATATGTAGGGAGACTGTGAACCTGGAAGCATATCACAGTAAGTATTTTGGGCAGAAAGGCAGAAAGAAAGACATTCCAAGGTAAAACAATGGACTAAGAATGTGATTAGCTTGTTAGCCCCCAATTGGGATAATGCAAGCAGCGAAAAAAAAACTTATGCTGCCAGTTAATTTCAAAGACTGTAACCATAGCCAAGTATGAAACTAATTCTGACCAGCTGTAAGATCAACAGATCCAGGTGTGTGTATGGCTAGTATGATCTAATGTGTCAGTATATTTAGGCTGCAGCAGCTGGCAGAATTGTGAAAATAGGCTTTAAGGAAAGCAATAATAGTAGCAATAGAACAACAAGCTAAGAGGGATACTAGGTTTCCTGGACGACTGGAGGTATTTGTCTAAGAGGTCATAATGCAAAGTGAGGTCATTTCTAAGCAGGGGCTGGGGATTTGACAATTGTCCTGCAAAGGGAAAGGGAACAGATGACTATAGAGATGAATTCCAGAATAGGACCCTGAGAGCCTGGTTGCTAAAAATATTCATTGATCTCATATAAGTGATCAAGATCAATGCGTACATTTTTCAGCTATGTTGCCTTCTCAGCAGACCACCTCTACCTTACGCTGGTCTTTACATCACACCCCAACACTCATGTAATAGTAATCTTGAGCAATCAGGACTTGTATCTAACATTCATATACTCCTGCTCCCCCTCACACATTTACCACTGCTGCAGATCTCATATTCTCATACAGCCATAGAATCAGAATCATACAGCATGGAAACAGACACTTTGGTCCAACCAGTCCTTGTCGAACATAATCCCAAAGTAAACTAGTTCCACCTGCCTGCTTCATGTACTTATCCAAACGTCTTTTATATGTTGTAACTGTATCCACATCCACCCTACCTCTGGCAGTTCATTCCACACACAAACCACTGTCTATGTAAAAAATTTGCCCGTCATTTTTAAAAAAATCTTTCTCCTGTCACCTTGAAAGTAAGACCCCTTGTCTTGAAATCCCCACCCTAGGGAAAAGACACCTGCCATTCACATTATCTATACCCGTCATGATTTTATAAACCTATTTAAGGTCACTCCTCAACCACTCATGCTCCAGTGAAAAAAGTCCCAGCCTATCCAGCCTCTCCTCATAACACAAACCTTCCAATCCTGGCAAATATCTTCTGAACTCTTTCTAGTTTAATAATAATCTTCCTATAACAGGGTGACCAGAACTGGACACAGTATTCCAGAAGAGGCCTCACAATGTCCTGCACAACCTCAACATTATGTCCCAACTCCTATACACAAAGGTCTGAGCAATGAAGGCAATTGTGCTAAATGCCCTCTTAACCACCCTATCTATATGTGATGCAAACTTCAAAGAATTTTGTACTTGAACTCCTAGATCTCTCTGTTCTACAACACTACCCAAAGTCCTACTTTTAACTGTATAAGTCCTACCCTTGTTTGTTTTACCAAAATGCAAAACCTTGCATTTATCTAAATTAAACTCCATCTGCCTGTCTTCAGCCCACTGACTTAATTGATCACGATCTCTTTGTAATCTTGGATAACCTTCTTTACTGTTCACTATACCACTAATCTTGGTGTCATCTGCAAACTTACTAACCATGCCTTCTATATTGTTATCTAAATCATTTATATAAATGACAAACACAAGTGGACACAGCACTGATCCCTGTGGAATACTGCCGGTCACAGGCCTCCAGTCTGATAAACAACCCTCCACCACCACTCTCTGTCTACTGCTGTGAAGCCAATCAACCTGAATCCCATGTGACATAACTTTACTAATTAGTCTAACAAGAGGAACCTTAGAGGCTTTGTTAAGGTCCAGGTGAACAATGTTTATCACTTTGCCCTTAATCCTCTTGGCTACTTCCTCAAAAAGTTCAACCAAGTATGTCAGACAGGAAGTCCCTCGCATAAAGCCATGTTGACTATCCTTAATCATTCCTGGTTTCTCCAAATGCACACAAATCCTATCTTTCAGAATCACTTCCAACAACTTACCCACCACCGAAGTCAGACTCACAGGTCTGTAGTTCCCAGGCTTCTCCTTACATCCCTTCTTAAACAAAGGCGCAACATTAGCCACTCTCCAGTCATCCGCCACCTCACCCGTAGTTATAGATTATATAAATATTTCTGCGAAGTGAATGTGGACACAATTACTACATTTAAAAAAGCCACTTGGATAAGCACATAAATAGGAAATGTTTGGAGGGATATGGGCCAGGAGCAGGCAGGTGGGACTACTTTACTTTGGGATTATGTTCAGCACGGATTGGTTGAACCAAAGGGTCTGTTTCTATGCTGTATGATTCTGACAGCTGTGGGTTCAGGCTGAGGTTGCTGATATGTTTTCAGCATGGGATTCATATGAAGATCTGTAAGTGGCACACAGGAAAACAGCGTAGTGCGTGCTAATATTCATTGTAGCCAGAAAGCCTGACTGTATTCAACTGTCAGCCCCTTTTCTGCTTACAATGAAGGTCATTGGCTTTGTTTTCATAGAAAACAAATGAAGTACTCAAGTTACTACAATCTCATTTAGTTAAAAGGGAGATTTAGCTTGTTGAATTCAAAAGAAAATAATTTGCACCTGCTGACAATGTACAATTAAAAAAAATTGCTGGAAATACACAGCTGATCTAGACAGAGGGGTAAATTTGAAATCCTTTTTTCCAAACACTGGTTACCTCTGTAGCAATGCATAACAAGTCTAATTAATAAAGAATTACGCATTAATAAAGAACACAGCAAAACATCCTAAGGTGATTCAAAAGAGCATAATCAAAACAAGATTGTCTGATGCAAAAAAGGTATATGAAATATTAATTAATGATATTATTTTTAAGATATATCTTAGGAGACAGATGTAATGGACTCGGAAGGGAATTCACATCTAATGAAGGATGATATAAGTGCTGAAACCACTAAACTTATTTTCTAAATTAGTATAATTTTGTTTTTATTTTGATGCATTATTGAGAATTTTGAAATAGACTTGTTTGTAGATATGTGCACATTTCATTCTATCCTCTGTTTTTGTAATGACTTCGCTTCCCAATTTTTTTTGGTTGGTCCATGGATCTGCTGATTCTTTTTTTTCTTTATTCATTCACGGGATGAGGGCGTCGCTGGTAGGCAGCGTTTATTGCCCAGAGGGCAGTTATGAGTCAACCACATTGCTGTAGGCCAGACCAGGTAAGAATGGCAGTTTCCTTCCCTAAAGGATATTAGTGAAGCAGATGGGTTTTTCCGACAATCAACAATGTATTTTCATGGTCATCGTTAGATTGTTAATTCCAGATATTTTAATTGAATTCAAATTCCAACATCTGCCATGGCAGGATTCGAACCCAGGTCCCCAGAACCTTATCTGGGTCTCTGGGTTAAAAGTCCAGCGATAATACCACTAGACTATTGTTTCCCCCGGCATACTTGGAAGATACTCAGTCTCTTTTTTACCCACATGACTTTCAATTTCTTGAAATTCGAGATGGCCTTGCATGGTTAGAATTTTAAAACAACTTCATTGTGTTCATAAATTATGTCTTGGGAATGAATTGTATTAATTTGTTTACTGAGGCTGGTATCCGGTCACCAAGTCATTGTTTATTTATATGTGCAGAGTCCTTGACACAGATTCCAGTTTCCTCAGAGCCAGCTCTCAATGTGAACGGGACTCCCCGATAGGAGCAGATTAGCAGCCTCAATCAGGGAACTCACATTCTGAGGTCCACCTGGCTGACCTCATTTTCATCACTACAGGGACAATAATAGGTTCATTTTAATAGTTTTATAGATAATTCGAGTAACTAGGTTTGATTAGTCATTGAGTCAGAGAAGTACAGCGCGGAAATAGACCTTTCAGTCCCACCTGCCCATACCAATCAGATATCCTAAATTAATCCAATCCTATTTGCCAGTATTTGGCCCATATCCCTCTAAACCATTCCTATTCATGTATCCATCCAGATGCCTTTTAAATGTTGTAATTATACAAGCCTCCACCACCTCCTCTGGCAGCTCACTCCATGCACGCACAACCCTCCATGAGAAAAAGTTGCCCCTTAGGTCCCTTTTAAATCTTTCCCCTCTCACCTTAAACCTATGCCCTCTAGTTTTGGACTCCCCCTACCCTGGGGAAAAGACCAGGGC